GTGGAGAATATTATTAATGAGCTTTTGATCGTTTTCTGTAAGAACACTATCATAAATATATATATTAAGATATAAATGTGAGAATTAATCTTTTGACAACAGAATAATGAAGTGTCTGTAATGTTGAAGTAGAAGTTCAGTTTCTTAAGATATCCTATTAAAGTAGCAAACTATTGTCTACGTGCCTATTTAAGGCCATAAAAACCTTTCTTCAGTTGGCATACGTAATTAGGATAGGTTGTGCCGGTGAAATTCATTGGTTGTTCCATCTAGGCTATTTCAGTTAGATGGCCATGAAGAAAAGTATTCAAAATATTTAGTTGATGTATATTCCAATTGTAGGTGATGACCTCTATAAGAAAGTCTTGAATGGTAGACATTTTAGTCGCAAGGATGAAGTTTTAAATATAGTATGTTCCCTATGTTATTTAAAGACTTAAGCTACCAATCTAACCTTATGGTGAGTAATTGATACATTTATATTGTGTTTTGTTTTAAATATCCATTTACATTCTAAGAAAATTTGGCCTCCAAAAATAGAGGGTGGAAATAAAACCAAAGTTTTTTGAGCCTGTAGAGTTTGAAATTATTCTGACATGGCTTGTTACCAGTGAAAGAGTTTGACAACAACTGTGTAGCAGGAGAGTAAGATTAAGAATTTTTTTTTGCTTTAGGTGAGATAATTTGTGTTTAGGAATATTTTCACCTATAACTTTTTTGTGATAAAACATATTCAAAAACACACATATTGTGTTTTCAATAAGGTCTAACCATGGAAGGCGTTGGCATCCTAAGAATTTGAGATGATTATATGTGGGTGAGTTTCCATGTATAAACTCATAAGAAGATTTATAATGAGCTGATTTGGATGGCATTAAATTAATGAGATAATATGTTAGAAGTGCATCAGTCCACAGATGGAGTAAATGGGAAGTGTCGGTTAGTAAGGTCTCAATGGTTTTTATGAGAAGTCTATATTTCCTTTCAGCGACTCCATTCTATTATAGTGTATAAGGATAAGTAAACTAATGACAAACGCCTCATTTTTTAAGTTGAATAATGAAGTGCATGTTGATATATTCATCAAAATTGTCTATTATGAGAGTTTTATATGAGTATTGAATTGATTTTTAACAATGTTTTTAAACTCTATGTTTTTAACTATAGTCTTCTCTTTATTTTTGAGTAGATATACCCATGCAAATTGAGAATAACTATCTATAAAGACTACATAGTATTTGAAAGAGTGGATGATCTCCAAACAACATAATATATGATGTCTAGGGAATGAGATGCTTGTGAAATGGAACTAAGTAAAAGGTATCTTGTAACTCTTAGCAAGATTGCATTAGCTGTAGTGAGATTTTTGAAAGAATTGGTTGAAGGATGGAACACAACATGCAAGAGATTTCTAAATTTTGTAACTGGGTAGCCTAGCTTTTCGTGTCCTAGATTTGTTATTTTTTGAACTATAAGGAAGACTAAAGAGCTTGGCATAGGAGTATTGGGAGGTTGAATAGGATAAAGCCCTTGCACATGTAGACCTTCAAGAACCATTTTGTTGGTTTGCATATCCTTGATAGAGCATCCATTAGTCTTGAATGTAATAAAACATAAATTTGTTGAAGTTTGTGAGCTACAATTAAACTCTAGGATAGATTGGGAGCAATGTGAATGTTAGAAAGTAAGAGCTTACGTGTATGTGTGGGTAATAATCCTTACTTAGCATGAGCAATGGAAAGTTGCTAGTTATTGCCTATGGCAATGGAGCTACCCTCTCTATACTCTTGAGTATGAGAAATTTGATTTGAATCAACTGTAAGGTGCTTGGTTACACCACTATCTAGATACTAATTATTGTTGAGATAAGTAGTGGAATTAATGATTAAGGCATTGGGATGTTTATGGTTCTTGTCATACCTATGCCAACACTTACGAGTTAAATGTGTAGGTTTGTTTCATATTTGACAAATGGTGTTGAAATATTTAGAAGTACTATAGGTAATGTTGTTGGGGCGTGATTATGAAAGTATTTAGGTTTTATTATAATTATGATTCATGTTCTTGTATTTACCCCTTCCCCTGGGTAGCGGTGAGGGTCATGTGAGTTGACTGTTGAGTTTCTTTAGTTGCTTCTTGCACAGGGTTCAATTTTTCATTGCACAAAAGTGTGTATAAGTCATCAAGATTGATTGGTTATAGGTTTTTTCTAATAAGAGTCTTGAGTGAATGATAATTGGAGGGGAGATCATTTTGTGTATAATAAATTAAATCTTCTGACTCTTGGGCAACACCTGTGGCGACCAAAGTGTCATATTTATACATGATTTTAGCTAGATATCGTGTCTTTGTTTTTCCTAGCATAGTGAGTTATGTAGCTCATTGTGTGATGTGGGGCATGCTTGTAGATTATAATCTATGTTCAATCGTATTCCATATGTCAAAAACAAGTCTCAAGAGTAAGAATATATGGAAGAAAGGGATGTAAAATGACATCCTTTACCAAGTATTGGTTGATAATCATCCATTTTGTGTATTCATGATTTGCTACTTCAACTCCCATAGGATCAAAACTGATTTGCTTCAGTTGGCTACAGATCCCTTTCACAAATCTCTCATATTCATCTGCGTAAAAAAAGCTTCGCAACTTGTGCCTTCCATGTAAGACAATTATCAGTGGTGAGAGGTGTAGAAATGATATCTCTGATATTTTCGATTAGAAATTTTAATTGAGTTAGAATTGGATTGTCACACCATAAAGGAGTAGAGATAGCAGCCAAGGTTGCAACAATTGCAGAGGAAGTCGAAATTGAACTTATGATGCAGATGAGGTTTAGCTACACATAATCCCTAATACCATGTACAAGTTCTCTCATCTTCTTAATTGAGAAAGAGGCTAACACATATGACAAAAGGACAAGAAGAGGAGAGCAGAATCTCGAAAAGTTGATCATTCATTCCATCTTCATATTACATAGTTTCATTTATTGAGACATCAATGATAGTGTAGGCTTGTTACAAGTAATGGATAGACATAATAAGCATACAACTCACATAGTTATTTCAATTATAGATATCCAACAAATTTTACTCTGCAACACAATAATCAAGACAATTAAGATAATCATTTCTTATTAAGCAACAAATTATCTTCCAAATTTACATGATAATACTAATTAAATTTAAGACACAAAAATTAAATTTATTGAAAAAAAAGAGAGTCAATCAAACTGAATCTAAAATCTCTCTGCTTCTTGTTAAATAAGTGTAATATAATCATTAATCATATATTACATTTTTTAAATTAAATTTAAAACTTTAAAATTATTTATTTCAGATATTTTTATTCAAATTTTATTTTCATTTACATACATACCTCCCAATTCCTGTGTATTTACATATATAACTCCTAAGCTTTACTTTTTATGTTTATGGGCATTTACCTACATACCACCCAATTCTTATATATATTTACATATCAAGAACCTAAACTTTATTTTTATATTTATACAACCGAGATATTTCATATTAAATCAAAAGTGTTATTATTTTAACTTTTAGAAAGTAAAATGAACATTTTTATGTAAAAATTAAGATTTAGGTGTTAGATATGTAAATCCAAAAAAATTGAGTGGTATGCATGTAAAATCTTCCTTATATTATCCATAGATAAGGTGGTATATACGTAAAAAATCAAAATTTAAGTATAAAATATATAAATACATAGAAATTAAGTGTTATGAATGTAATCTTCCAATCCATTTTTAAAATTTTTTTGAAGTTATCAGGGTTCGATTGCTTTCTTGCTGTTCATAAATGAACACTGGTAAGCCTTACCTGCTACTGGGAGTTGGATGGACTCATATTTAAAGCATTCCGTTTCAGGCCTTGCTTGCCTATATATAAAATGTTAGGCTAACGTCTAATCATTTAGACAGGCCATCACGTGCAGCCCAGCTGGCCCGAACTGGTCTGCTTTTGGGCCAGTTCTGCCAGACGATGAGCAGTAATATGAATTGTTAAATAAATTATTTTATTAAATAATGATGAAATTTAAATTATTTATGAGCATCACAAAATATTCCCCACTCCCTAAAAAATGACTCCCTTTGTGTAATTTTTTATATCATATTTTATCATATATTTTTATATCTACTACTTAAATCCTTCTTTTTATTTATTTAGCATCTTAATATGTAAATAGCACAAAAAAATATGTATTTTTTATTTTTACTTGGAACAAATCTTTAATGTTTTTAATTTACATAGAGGCTTGGCTCAGTTTGGGCTAGAATAAAACCACCATGGTTCACTTATGGCCTCATTCCAGTCCAATTATGGGCTTACAGCAAAATTTTTCTACCATGGGCCTTCACTATTGTTGCCCTTTTGGCAGTTTGAACTCTCTAATAGAAAAGTATCATCTATTTGAAATAGAGATAATGATATGAAGGTGGTTGTTTTGAAGAATGATATTATATGGATCAATTTTAAGGAAAATAAGACGAGGGCCGGTTTATTTTGGCTTAACGACGTGCTTGAATATGTTCCAAAAAGCTCATAATAAGTTCAGAGATTTATGAATAGCTCAAATTGAAATCATGATGTAATTTAAATCAACTCAATACGGATCAGTTTGAAATCAACCCGACTCACTGAACCACACATCTTCCTAGTACTAGTGAAGAAGCTTTCAGATAGGATGGTTGATGCTTGAGACTGATTCTTCAAAACTTTTGTCAACTATGGTGTTACTTAGTACATCTCCTGAGCTCATTTATTAACAATCATATAAATTTCATTTGAATTAATTTGGCTCCTACCCTCACTTACTGCATGGGTCCTTGTTCAGATGTTTTTATTATAATTGTATTCAGATGTTGCATTTTAAATGGAGCATATTTAAAGCATAAATACAAAAACACTCTTATATTTGCATGTAAAATATTAACATTTAATAAGAAAACATTAAAAGACATTAGTCAAAATTTTTATGGATAATATGCCTATAAGGAAAAGATGAGAAGATGCAACAAATACAAATCAAATGAGTAATAGGATCTAGATTCTATGACAAATTTGATATAAGTTTATCGACATGAAGGATTACATCATCAATGTAAGGTCGGATGGATGGTTGAGGTTGCAGCATCCAAGAAACAAACTGATGGAGTGATTCCGGAAATGGTTGGTTAGGACCAGATGGCCACTTTATCTGAGTATTCATTATAGCTAACTGTAAGCTCCCTCCAGAATCTAGTACATACTCAAAAGGTGACACACCGTACCTGCAAGAAAAAGGTAATTAAAGTTCCCGAAGACTGTTGAGATTTGTATCTTATTTTTAGGGGTCAATTGTAAATAGAAAATATAGAGAAGCCTAAGAGGTTATTTGTAAAAGGATTATAGGGCTTTATAGAAAGCCCAACTCATGAATGAAGGAAAAAAACTTTTTACCAAATTTTTTCTTCATGGTATCAGAGCCTAGCCATTGGCGCAGCCATTTCTTCCTCGTGATGCAGTCGTGCTAATTGGGAAGGCACGAGGGTTCGACCTCGCCGCTAGGAAGGGATTGTAGGATGAAGGCATGTGATCGGTTTGTCCTAGCATCGCACTAGCTGGATCGCGGGATGTCAATGACAGGATCCCGACTTGGGAGTACCTCCAACCACTCGATAGTCAGGATCGGGACCGAAACAGTCACAACGTACTCGGGGGCAATCACAAGTGAAGTATTGCAACAGCAATACAGTCGGAGGATGGGACGAAGGATCGTGATATAGTGTCGACTAAAGCACCACTGCTGAAATCGGGAAGGCAACAACACAATAGCAGTTCTCTGAGAAGGCAAAAAAGGGACACCATGGCTTGCTGGGAAGGCAACTTCCAGACAGCGGCACGAACACTTGAGATAAGGTTGCATTGAGCTCAGGTATGATAGGTGCCCAGAGGAGACCCACGGGTGCTTCAACTGTGGAGAAGTGGGACAACTAAGCATGGATTGTCCAAAAACCATGCCAAGGAGAGAGAGACTAGTAAATGCGGAAGTCTAGAGGTCGTGTTTTGTGTGTGTGCTAGGGCGGGGGTTTGAAGGGGTAGAATAGGGGGCTATCGAACAAAACTGATAACGGAAAAGAACAAAGAAAGACATAGATAATCTTTACTAATAAGAAACATGAGTTACTAGAGATGTTAAAGAGGAACCGGAGAGCAACCTGTAATGTAGCTGAGGATGCATCCACCTTATCATTATTCAAGGAGAACAATGCTAGTTATGCTCACTCAGCCAAAGGTACTCGTGATACATATGCTCTTGCCTCTATATCCACCACAATATCACCAATAGGTGTGTAAACGAGCCGAACACAAGCGAGCCTAGGTTCAACTTGTGTTTGGCTCGTTTATATTTCAAGCTCAAAAAGTGTGTTCGTGGTTGGGCCCCTTTCTTTTCGGGGCCGACCACCGGCCCTTACCACCATTCACGAACAAAAAGTCATTTTGACAACCCTAACCACGTAGTTATAAGATGTTAAGGATTGAGGCAATATTTAAAAATTATTGTTTACATTAAAACATCATTTGAATCTAATTTAATAATTTTAATTCTATTTTCTTAATTAATACTTTAATTGATTATAAATCTTTGAAATTTTGTAATCTATTAAATTTTTTTAAAATAATACTCATCAAATATATATATAATATAATTGATTAATAGTATTTCCTTGGGGATCCTTTGGAACTAGATCAACCTACTTTCAACTTAATCAGACCCCGGTGGCCAGAATACTAGTGGAAAGAGATTACTTTACCTGATGTCACTGAAGTCTGGTTGGGCACAACCCATAATGGTTATTGGCAACAAATCGTCATGGAACACAAACCCATATATTGTACCCACTGTAAGATGTTTGGTCATATC